TTTTTGTTTGATTTTGGCGCTTTCGGAATGTGTCAAACTTGATAATGAGCCTTCTCAATTTTGTGGCAGACGTACCTCTAAACTTGTCTTTCAGCGCAGCCTACATTCCTTGAGCGTTATCAAACCTTTCAAACTCACACATGAAATCATCTTGCATACAACTCAGCAACATAATGCAAGCAATGCTATTTTTTTTTTCCAAGCTTGATAAGCTTCATGATCTCTTTTGTGCTGAGCAGAAGTTCCATGCTCAGGTTCAACCATGGTGTGGTTAAGGGTCTCCAAAACTTCTTGCTCTTCAAGGATGTACTGAACCTTTCGATGCCATATAGCAAAATTGTCACCGTTCAATTTCTCACCCTTGTTAAGTCAGCCACAATGGTCTTAGATGCCGAAGCCATAATCAATGACAGCTACACATTGACATAATAAACACAGAATGAATACTAACATATCTTTCATATTAACACACATATTTATTTTGCACCAAAGACAAACAAAATTAATGATAATTGACAAAAGACATTGAAACGAAGTTCACTATGTTTCCAATCAGCTTCTGTGTTACGATTGTCTACTATCATCAATTTTGTTTAATTTGCACAAAATTTAAGTTCCGGGTGAGCATTCCTTTGAATTCTACCAACCTATGAACTCCCAATTGAAAAGACGATTATAATACATAATGCAAAGATCACATTCTCTCATACAATCATAGAAAATAGCATGATGTTAACCAAAGTACAAGTAATTCAAGCATCATCTATAATCAAATGCGGAATACAAAAAATTAAATAACGATCTCCAACCATTGTTTGAGTTTGCTCAGAACTAAAATTGCAAGCACGTTAAATCTTATATACATTCCATCAATAAACCACGCTCTACACAATTTGTATGTGGCCATTTACATATAAGCTAGCTTTTGTATTTCCAAAACCAAAGAGAAATATAGGTAAAATGCAATAATACCCAAAAAAATATGCATATTTAGAGTTCCGTATGTATTTTCATATCCTTAAAAGCTTCAAACATGTAAAATAACTACACCATAATGTAGATAATTTCAATACAAACACAACAGTACCAATTACGCTCCAGTTGGACCACCCACGCGCCCATACGCGCTGCCTAAGTGCACAGCGCGTGTAGCGCACGCACAGGGGGTCCAACCGGTTCTTATGCCGGTCAGACCGGTTCAACCGTTGACTGGTTCGATTATTTGACCGTTGACCAGTCCGATTGTTGATCGATCAACATGTCGGGTCAATGGGTCGGATCATAGGTCGGTCGGGTCGTCGGGTTACTGGTTCGGGTAGCTGACGTCAGCCGGGGGTACCCGCACGTGTGGCGTACATGCCCGCTCATGAGGCGTGTGCCGCACACGCGTTGGGCAATCCCAGTGCGTGGCCACGCGTGGGAGCATGGCCTCTGACATAGCAGCTTGCAGCCGTGCGTGGGGGCATGTGCGGCTCCCCCCACAGGCGTTTGACCCGCCATTTGGCTCATCTCAATGAGATCTTTCATCCCACATGATCAAAATAATTTTTCACCGGAAAATTTTTGAGAAAAAAAGGCCAAACAAAATGGTCACCGACGAACTCAAGACTCGACTTTCACACCTGGTTCGTATTGAACATCATTGCCGTGATTTCATTGCATTCAACATGCAGACGGCTTGGAAATCGATTGGCTACATAATTTCCTTATTGAACAACGAGCGAAAACTCGACAGAAAAACAAGACAGAGATTATAACGCACGCTCTGATACCAATGTTAGGAAAAAGTCGCGGAAGAAATTGACTAATCTCTCGATGCACAATAAACGAATTACCCGGAAATGTGAATTGAATCACTAGTGATTGTTGGACGAATCTGCAACGTCACACCGATCCGAATATAATCACGAGGAAAATATTATTGTTCCACAGTGTTAATGTTGATCGTCTTCTCAAAGTAACGACGTAATCCTTTTGTGTGTGTTTTCTGAATGAGAGAGGATAACGTACGTTTTCTCTTATGTACGTTGTATGTCATATGTTTTCTCTATATAGAGGAAGTTACTTTAACTTCCCTTTAGAAGACAACTCACACACTTTCAAAGGGCGCCTTTCATAACACACCCCATCATGGGCGAAACAGTGCCTCCTAACAGTTGCAACAACGGTGGTTATGATCTTCGAATATGTTGGGTTGTCTGCCCCATGATTACATTTTACATGTCAAGGTTTAAGCCGGAAAGTTTATGGAGGTTCCCTCAAAAGCCATAATCACAAGGTAAAAGTTGGGGAAGTAGTCTTTGCTTTTCGATTTTACTGTTTGGCTTTCGTCGAATTTTTGAGCTCGAACAGCAAGTTGAATTGAATATTGGAAGCTAAAACTAGAAGTAATGGGTTAATGTGGGTTCCCAAATGCCCTATAAACTATCACATTGCAATTAGCGCTCTATGACATGATCATTGAAAGGATAGTGACGTTAGAAATGCTAGGTGTGATTATGAGACGGTAAACTGCTACATAAGTTGGGTTGTCTGCCCCATGATTACATTTTCATTAAATTTTTTTTGTCATGTGGCAATATGTGCCAAGCGGCTATTTACATGAAATAAAGAAGAAAACACTTTCTCTATCTTCAATCGTGACGTGTACATGGTGCTCCATATTTCAAATTGTAGGGTATGTTTGAATGATTTTTTACTTTTTAGCAATTAAGCTTTGACTTTTATTTAATATTTAACAACGAATATTAAATTTTTATCCATGTGGACTAATAGCTTCTTACTTTTAATAAAAGAAAGGCCAAACAGGTTGTAAGTACAATTTAATAACAAGTTACTTTTTTTAAGTTTTCCCAAACAAATATCATAGTATATCCCTCGATTCGGTAGACGAAGGACATGATGCTCTTAGTCGATTATTTGGCCTTTAAGTCAAATTTCAATTGCCAAAAGCTCCAAACTAAATTAGCATGAAAAGAACAATTTACTCCAAGTAATGCTAAATTTACGGATACACATTCTTTTCAGAACTAAGATGTCTAAATGAATTCGTTAAGGCGAAACCATTATCTACGAATCACCAATCACCAACCCTAATTACTCTTAAGGGTCGTTTTTGAATATCAGAGTCCTAAGACTCGTAAGTCGTAACCATTTTCCTATTAGGAGGCTCTCGGCCTTGAATATATCAAAGCTATTCCATACTAGGATTCATCTACAGAGTATTTTCATCTATAAAACATTTCGACTTTGAATTCCCCAAGTAAAAACCATGACATCTTTGACAAATATTACATAAAAAAAGTTACGATTCTAATCAAGAATTTATCTAGACCATGTGTATATCCTTTGGGACGTACAAGAAGTGTGTGATTAGAAACCCATCAGTGGTGGCTATGCAAGGGGTCCCAAAGTATGAGAAGAGGAACCGCGGCGGGGAAGACAAGCACGTCTTGGCGTGGATTCAGGGGGAGAAACTCCAAGTGTTCCGACCGGGGTAGTCCATCAAAGTGTGGAGCAGGGACTATTGTAGTAAGCCTGCAAGGATCTACGTCTACCCCGGGATATCGGCCGATTTCCCTCATCACTCCATCGATAGGCGCAATCAATCCCGTCGGTTGAATAGCAAGCGCAAAATAAATGTCACTAAGGACGGCACTGTGGTTTGTTATGATTTTGAATGAAATCTCTTCTTTCTAATTGCATACAATCTTGTTCTGGGAACCCTTCTTTTGCGTTACTTTAGACTGCTGTTTAAGATTGTACCAAAGGAGGACGCAAAAGTTCAAAGTAAACTATGTTTCCGTCGCCATGGACGTCTGACCTCTCTTTTTCTTTTGCATACGTTCTTGTTTAATTCATTAATTATTGGGAAAAGGTACCAAAAAAGTCCTCAATCTATTGCATTGGTACCAATTCAGTTCTAAACCTTTTAATTTGATCAATTTAGTCCTAAACCTTTTCACATTGTTATCAATTTAGTTAATCCGGCCAATTTAGGCCGAAAATCGCTGACTTGGACACCGGCCGTCCTACGTGGCACGGCCGGCGCTGACGTGGATAATTTTTAAATTTTTTTAATAATTTTTTCGTTTTTTTCCCTTCCTTCTCCTTTCGAAAAAAAGGAAAAAAAATTAAAAATTCAAAAAATTATTAAAAATTGTCCACGGTAGCGCCGGCCGTGCTACGTATGACAGCCGGCATCCACGTCAGCGATTTCCAGCCTAAATTGGCCGGATGGATTGAATTGGTATCAATGTGAAAATATTTAGAACTAAATTGGTCCAATTGAAAGGTTTATGACTAAATTGGTACCAATGCAATAGGTTTAGGACTTGGTACTTTTCCCATGATTATTGATGATTTCTCTTTTTGCCTAATAGCAATCGTGCATGGATTTTGGTTCATTCTTTTGCAAGTGCATTTCAATGTTTTTTTTTATAAAAAAATTTTGGCCACTAGGCTTTTGAATTTGGATCCATGCATTTGGGTAGCAAGAATCGTATTCGATTCCCGTTGAGGCAAGTTTTTAACGAGCGGAAACTGTGCGGTAAAAATTGACATCTTTAATTAGTCCGTTGGAAGGCCATCACATCAACTTGGAGAGACTCGTACATGAGATTGAATACTTTGAGCTTGATTCCTCTCCTAATGAGATGTCCCTTTTCCTTTAATTGTACAGTTTGGTGCCGGACAAGAAGTCCTGAATAATTGGGCCTGCCTTCAGGAGAAAATTGGAGTCTTCCCATGATGTGATCAAAGCTGAAAAAGCCTTCAAAGGTAAGAATCTTGGGAATCACCTCAAAGAAGAAGGATTTGGTCTGGGAAAAGAACATTCATATCATTTATGATCAAAGTGTCATTGAGTGGTAAACCGATGAGTCTTGAACTATATCAGCAAAAGCAGGCCCTTGAAGCATGTTTCTGGAGGGGACCTCTCGTGGACGTAATTAGAAATGGATGCACCGAATCGGAAAAAAAGGAGCAAATTGGCCTTCAACTAATGACAAGGAAAAGAATAAAACCTGATTATAACCGAAAGAGACGGAAAACTGAGCCGGTTTAGCACCTCGTCTCTTGAGACCGGAGGGATATCGGCAATCACCACTCTTTCAACTAGCAGTCATAGTCATCTAGCCATACGTTTTAGAGGAATAAAGAAGCCCAATTACAGATTTCTATTCCACATCATTCCTTCCCCACCTAAGTGATATATGCCAGAGTATATGCATATCGGCTCAGCACAGGGTCCGAGCTAAGGTTTCATAAGTTCTCAGCTTGTGAAAAATGGCAATTGAAAGGATCATTAAAACCGCCGTGCTGGTTCAGTTCTATTGTAATGAAGTCTAAAGAGGACATAGACATATGCAGCTTACACTGTGCCAGCAAGCATGAAAGCCTTGTACACAATGCACCTGACCAAATCAGGACCACCCCATGAATCCTCAAGCTCTCTAACTACACCTTCGGATAACAAATCGAAACCTTGTTCCTTGGCTGTAGCAACTGCGGACCATGACCTTAACATCCTCAAGAACCCTTCGAAAGCGAGCTGCTTTGGTATATCCAGAGGGAATGGCTCGCTTTTGCATCCCAAGCCTACACTTTTGAATGGGAAAGGGAGTTTCTTGTAACCATCGAATACGTGCTTTATGTTGGGGTCCCAAAAGGGCAGCGTAGTGTCATGGAAGCGTTTCATGACCGGATCAAACGTAGGGCTCACTTCAACGTCATTGTAGCACCACACTGCGAGCACCCCTCCCGGCTTCCGGAGCAGACGGGTCGCGAGGGAGTAGAAATTGGGTACGTCGAACCAGTGCACCGCTTGAGCCACCGTAATCAAATCCACTGAATTTTCACCTCCAATTAAGGTCACGATTTCGTCGTTGGAGATGGGTATTGGGGTGTGGACATAGCGGACTCTCGGATGCTGCATCGCACATTTTAGCTGGGCTGCGCTCACATCAGTGGCGATCACCTGGTCGTAGTGCTCAGCTACCTATTTTAAAAGCAAGTGCAGGGTATATGAACAGAGTTGTAACTAACGAGAACAATCTGGTAGTAATGAAAGAAGTTGAGCTTTGAATTGGTGAAAGATCAATCATCATAGAGCAAAGAGAAGGAAAGAGAAGCCCATTTGACAAAAATACAAAAGGGAAAAGAAGCTTGGAAGACACCGAGACAGGTTTTGAACTTCAGTTTCAAAGATCGGATTCAAACCAACACAAATGATTTGAGACAAATTAAGTGGAACTGGAGGATTTCCACCTTCAGTTAGTGATTAGTAAGCAGTACACAGCCAGTCCTAGCCCCAAACAAAATCAAATAGAATAAATCAACTTCTCAGTATCAATGAGAAGAGTAAAAAGCAGAGTATCTGAGGATTCAGGTAACTGTTGAAGTGAAGCGAAGTCCTAAAAATTCACCCAGGCTGAGCTAATCTCACTCATTCTCGACACCTTATGTCTACTCAAGTACCTCCGAAAGCAAAAAGAAATGAAAATGTTCATACAAGGTGAGTACGCCAATGAATGATTCTCATCAAAATCCCTCTTCAGCGAGACTTGCATTTGACATGTATTGTTCATAAAAAAGTTTCGCATTTCGCAAGATCTGCGATCACATCTGGTCGACCCCATTTCTTTTTTTGGAAAATCCAGAAGATCTGCCCACAACGTCACGGTTCCCGATCAAATGTCGGGTTCCATCGTATCAGGACAAAACATTCAACTTGCTACTCATCTTGCAGAGAGAGAGAGAGAGAGAGAACTGACTCCGAGGGCGGCTTGGCCGTTGCCGGTGCCGACGTCCCAGGCGAGGGAGTGAAGAGGAGTGCGAGAAGCGAGCATGGAGTACCAGTGCGCCGGGTACGTCGGACGAGCGTCCAAGTAGATCTCCGCTTGCTTGTCGAACAGACCCGCCATCTCCTCCCGGTCTGCCTCTGCTTGCGTTCTTCTTTGCCTTGGGTCCTTAGCTTCTGCTTTTTGTTCATTGCACTGCCTATTTATTCAACTCTAAACTTGCCCAACATTTGAAAAAAGAAAAGTTAGGAACAACTAGCATATGATGCAATTTCCTAATATCATTTCCTCTGCATTTTAATTGTGCTTTTTAATCATTGCAATATAGTTTATATGTATTTAAGCCGCGTTCGAATTTTGATTATGATAAATAGGAACTTGATTTTTCAGTCCTTTCCAACGGTCAACGATGTTGACTCGTTGTAAAAAGCTTCTCTCGACGCTTCACATATGTTGAATTTGAACCCATTTGCTATTAAAAAAAAGCGAATGAGCAACTTCTCCGTAAGTGGAGCTTCCAATTTATAGTCAATAAAATCGATGGACTTAGATATAACAAAGTGGAGGACGTTATGATTACAAATATACCTTTTCACATGTTTGAGTTTGACCCTATTTGTCATCAAATAAACAAGCGCAAGATGTATCTTCATTGGCACCTGAATTTTTACCGACAAAATCAAACACACATTACAAAAAAAGGAAAAGAAAAGCAGAGAAATTAGCAATAAAAGGCTAATTAAAAGTTCTGGCAACCGAGGAATCGCCATTGCTAAAGCTTCAAGGAGAACCGCCGCCCCCTCCCGATTGCATTTGCTGGAGCGCTACAAAGCTTTCTGGAGAACAGTGCCTTTTCTCTCTCTCTCTCTTCCTACTCTCTTCAGCCTTCCTTCACCTTCAATTTCTGCTGGCTTCGTTCTGACTTTTCAATTCACTTTGATGATTTTAAAGAATAATGAAGGATCGAAACTGACCTCTCTCGTCCCTCAATCTTTTTCCTCTCGTATTCAGATTCACGAAGAAGAAGAGGAATCTGGCAAAATATCCGAGAGAGAATGAGATCGTCCTTCCACTAACTCCGGTTTTGCCCTTTGATTCAAGATCAAGATCGAGTTCCGTCTCCGACTCGTTGCGGTTCACCATTACCGAGCTGCCCCCGATTCCTTTTATTCTGCCCTGTTCTTCAGTTAGCATGTCCGAAGTTGCTCGAAACCGATTAATTCTCCTTTCCCAAGACTCTGATCATCAACATCGACACTTCCTGAAGTTCTTGCAACCGATTCATCACCAATCGCAAACTTTAATGTGTCCTTGTAATCGCTTTTTCTAATTGGTCTCCAACTTTTTTTTTTTTTTAAAGCCATCAACTTTATTGAATATAAAGTGTGGAAAATTCCCAAACAAAGTTTTAAACATATTGTATGATTGCCAATTCAATCCTAAACTTTTTAATTTGATTAATTTACTCATAAACATTTTGACAATTTGTCAATGTAGTCCTTCCACCAATTATGACTTTTCTTGGAAAATCACTAACAATGATGGACGATATCTTATGTACGCACGTCCGCACTAAAGTGGATAATTTTGCAATTTTTTTTCTTGGGGGGATATTTTTATATTTTCTTTTTTTTTTTTCCATTGTGGTAGGCGAAAGCCATGGGACGGGTAAGGCACATCCCCGCCGCCTGGCGCCAAGTACCCGTGGACGTTCCGGCGTAGTCACGGTGGTGAGTTTCGGTGAAGAACACCACGAAGAAGAAGAAGCCCAGGAGTAGAAGGATGTGCATGGGCAGAAAGCACGTATGGGATGAAGACCAAAAAAAAAAAAAGGGAAATATTCAAAAAGAAATGAAAATGGAGTCCCGCGTCGAATGCCGGCCAGATTTCGGGCTCGGGTCAGGGGACCCGTAAAACCTTAAATAAGTTTTCAAATTCTTGTTAAAAATTCTTGGTTTATATCTTCGCAAGATCTTTAATCATGTTTCAAAATCGAATTAGATGATGAGTGTAAAATTCCAAAAAAAATCAGTAAATTAGGAAGCTTAAATCATTTTATGACTTATTAATGTTTCATATTCTTCATGTATCTAAATATAAGTTGTGGTCAGTGGATCGTAATAGCAAGTTGTGGTCATTAAAAGTGTTAATTCACTGCAATTGTTCAATTAATAATACGGGTAGAATCTGATAGACCCTTAACCGATACCTGGAACGTGTGATAAGATAGGTTTCGAGGTTCCAAAAAATGACAAACCTCGTTCCATGATTAGGTTCTAAGTTCCGAAGTGAAATTGCATGTAGTGGCGACTCCTTAACCCATGTTAAAACCGCTCACTCCTAAGCAAGAGTCAATAAGGCCTGATCGCTAGTGAGGGCGCGAAAACCCTCACCAGATCTTAGAGAGGGTCACCTCGCCCGTGATCGGCGAAGGCGTGACCTCGTCGCCAGCCAACCGTACTAAGTAGAACGGATCCGCATTAGCGATTTCCAACCAAAATTACCCATAAAGTCTATATTGGCAAAATCACCAAAATATTTAGAACTAAACTAGTCAAATTAAAAGGATTAAAACTAAATTGACATCTGTTCAACAGGTTTATAACTTATATTTACATTTAAAAGAAAAAATCTAAATGACAACTTCGATCTCAAACTTTTTACGAAAGAATTCCTTTAACACACTGTGCTTAGGGGTGTAAAAAACATGAGCCGGCCGGCCCGACCTGACCCGACCCGGCCCGGCCCGAAATTTTAGGGTATTTTGGGGTCATCTTATTATTTTCTCTGGTATGGATTTTAGATGTGGGTATTTATTAAGATCGGGCCGGGTCAGGCCGGGCCGGGCTTTTTTGACCTAGCACCACTTCCCCCCCTCTCCCCTTCGCTTCTTCTCTCTCGACCGTGAACATCTGTCTCCCCCCTTCCAGTTCAGCCATGGTCTTCCTTGCCTCTCACTTCCCCCCGATCAGGGAAAGCTTTCGATCCTCCCTCTTCGATTCCGACCGTTTCCCCCCGGCGCGATCGACCCCCCCTTCGCCGTCGATCTCTGCGAGTCGCCGCCGATTCGTCGACGCCGACGATGGAGGAGCCGGGGGAGCGCCCGAGGAGAAACCCTAGATCTCTTCTTCTTCTGCTTCTTCTCCTCGGCGCTTTTTTTCGAGATCCCTTTCCGCGGGGCCGGCGGGGGGCGGTCGCTGATGGCGGATCAGGAGGAGGAGGACCTGAAGATGGCGCTGCGCCTCAGCATGTAGCACTCTCCGCCAAAGACCAAGCGGAGCAAGCTCAGGGAAGCCGCCGCCGTCGCCGCCTTGGCCGCCGCCGCTGGGGGCTCGTCACTGGAGGACAGCCGTCGGATGCAGAGGGACCTCATGGCCGCCGCGGCCGAGAAGAGGATGCTGGCCGCGAGGAGCGCTGGAGCGGCGTTGCCTTCGTGGGGGCCCTGTGGTGTTGCAGTTGCAGAGAGAGAGAGAGAGAGAGAGAGAGAGAGAGATGGCGAAGTCTATGAGATCGAAGAGGGAGAAGAGGCTGAGAGCCATCCGGAGGGAGATCGTGGAGTCCGTCTACGACAACAGGGACGCCGCGAAGCTCGCCGCCCAGGAGGCCGCCTTCGCCGCTCCCAAGCTCCCCGTCCCCGCTCTCCCCAATTCCAGTTCCGGTTCCATGGAGGTCGCCGCCGCCGCATCTTCTTCCATGGGACCCTAAACCCGACCCGGACCGACCCGACCCTATTCTTGAAGTATATACTGAACAGGGTCGGATCGGGTCGGGTCGAGCGTGACCCTGTATATTTCGGGTCGGGTCGGGTATTATGAAAACCCGATCCGACCCGACCCATTGACACCCCTACCTGTGCCTACATCTCTGCTGTTAATATAGCAAATCCACCGGCTAACTATTTCTAACTGCGCAATTCAGATTCAACATAATCATCAAGCATTCTATATAGATCACTCCTCTTTCCAGCTTAATAACAATTTATGTTTGTATTCTCAAAACGATCATATCTTTACACATTATTTTTCTACCATATTATAGGCTTGTCCATCAAACCAAGGACCGTGCATTATGACAATAAATGACGTAAAGTCAATGTATCGATCTTTGAAATATATTGGCCGCAGGTTGATTACTGCTGCCTATAAGACGACAACAAATCATTATATATTATTATGAAAGTTTTATTATGTGAAATGAAAACAATAGACATATTAAGTACTGACCACAAACACCATATGCTTAAACAAATCCATATGCCACGTGCACACAGATTTTAATCCCAGAATAGCGCAAGATCTAGACAATTCTATGATTATTTTTGTTAAAATGCCTTAGTAAGCGATAGCTCACATGTCGACCGAACAACTCGTTTGATCTCACGTCATTTTTCTTCGGTGTTTGGATGTACACGACGAACACGACATGATCAAACACCACAAAAGACAAAAGTTACGTGGTGGGAAGTGCGACTTTGGACTGGATTAATGCAAACAGACGAAGTGCAAGATTTGTTGGGACATGTTCCTCGTTCGAGATCGATTGTGATAATAATTCCGGGATATGATTGGCCCTACACACACTTGTGCTCATTAGCCTTGAATAGTCCTAGCTAGCCAAAACCTAGCAAGAGTGCATCTGGTTTAATCGAGTGCATAATTATCAGTATAATAGACAATTTAATACAGAGGTTACTCTTAACTTTGCACGAATTTGACACTAGACTATTGTGGATTTTGGTATGTGTGTGATATTTGGTCAGATGCGTTTTGCATAATCTTTGGTCTCAGTGTTATTCTATTCTTATTCAATTGTGCAAATCCATTTCTATATGATATTGTGTGTATGTGCAAATATGTTGTTGTTGATATGAAGGAATGTCATTCCACAATGTTTTAGTTGCGTTACTATAATTTTTATGTGGCCATTTTTGTTGGTCGATCTAGTAAATATCATGGCAATCTAGTGTAAAACTTTTTAAATAGACAATCAATCGGAGAATTTTTTTCTAGGTCTGAAAATAGGAAATGCCATTCAATTAGTAGAGTTTAGTGAATACAAGTTCAAAGCTTCAGACCAAACCAAGTCCCATAGAGCTTGAGGGGGATAAAGAATCCAATTGCTGGGCAGGCCTTTCTTTGTTTGGGTTTTGGCGACCCAGTCAGCTATTTTGTTGGGTTCCTTGC